GAGGCGGCTGCGTGGCGGCGCGGCGGAAGAGCACTCCGCTGCGGGAGTTGAGTTGCGTGGCCCCCAGCGCGCCAGGTACGGGAGGCACTGTGCTTCGTTGTTCTACTGTTTTTGTTTTTTTACGTTTTTCTTGTTTTTTTTCTTGTTTTTTCTTGTTTTTGTTTTCTTCTTGTTTTTTTCTTGTTTTTTTTTCTTCTGCGTTTCCTCTTTTTTTTTCTTTTTTCTTTCCTCTTTTTTTTCTTCTCTCTCTCTCTTTCTTCGTCTTTTGGGTTTTGTTTTATTTTCTCTTCTTCTTCTTCTTGTTTTTGTTGTTGTTTTTCTCCCTCTTCTTCTTTTCTTTCTCTTTCATTTTTCTTCTACATCATCATCTTCCCCTTCTATTTCTCCTATTTTTTCTTCATCTTCCTCTTCTTCTTTTTCTTTGGAGTTTCTTTGGAAGGTTATGTTTCTTTTTCGTGATATCTGTCACTTGTGATTTATTTTCTTCTGAATGTATTCCCCCCTCCTCCTTCCATCTCTCTCTCTCTCTCTCTCTCCTCTTCTCCTATCTTTACTTCTCTTCTCTTCTCTTCTCTTTTTCTTTTTCTCTTTTTGTACTTTTCTCTAAATTCTTCACCTCCATCATTTTTCTACGTCTTACTTATTCTCCTCTTCCCGATTCTCGTCTTATGTCTCATTCTATTATTACTGTTTCTTCTCTTCTTTTTCCTCCGCCACCTTCTCCTCCTCCTCCTCCTCCTCCTCCTCCTCCTCCTCCTCCTCCTCCTCCTCCTCCTCCTCCTCCTCCTCCTCCTCCTTTTCATCCTCCTCATCAGTTTCCTCTTCTTTTTAATTCTTCTTTTTTCTTTCGTCACCGCCCTCACCCTCACCATTACCACGTGCTTTGTCATCCGCAAGCACGCCAGCCACACCAGCCTTAACACGCACATCGTAGTAAAAGAGAGAGAGAGAGAGATAGAAAAAGAAAACGCACATATGCACAAAAATAACAAACAAGAAATAGATGATAGCAGTAATAATTAGGTAATTCATTATTATTTTTTTTAATTATTATTTATTTATTTTTTTTTTTGGGGGGGGGGGACTTGTTTTATGTTACGTATATTTTTATTTTTGGTCCGGTGTTGGAAGATTGATTAGAAAATGGGATTGGGTTTGAAGTTAACTTTTGATCTCACTTTGTAGACTTTTTAAAAAATTGCTTGTAATGTAACGGTGCGAGTTTTTGCGAGGGAATTGATTTGCAATCGGTGGGCGTGTCCTGGCTCTTGCTCACACTCTCATACGCATACATATACGCAAAAACATTCACATTTACGGACACGTACACATACGCATACCTATAGACATATGTACATATACATATACATATACATATACATACACATCTATTTTCACATACCTATACATAGACGCATATACATTCTCATAAACATACATATACGCACACACATACACAAACACATACACATACACATACACGTAGACAAACACATGCCCATGCTCATGTTTATATACATGTTTATATACATAGATATATATTTACATATACACACGCACACACATAAACAAACAAACACATGCACACATATATGTAGAGAAATAGTAATCATCCACCACCATCCTTCCCTCATTTCACAACTTCCCCCTCCCCCCCTCCTCCTCCTCTTCTTCTTCTCCTTCTTCTTCTTCTTCTTCTTCTTCTTCTTCTTCTTCTTCTTCCTTTTCCTCTTCCTCCTCTTCCTCCTCTTCCTCCTCCTCCTCCTCCTCCTCCTCCTCCTCCTCCTCCTCTTCTTCTTCTTCCTCCTCCTCCTCCCCCTCCTCCTCTTCTTCTTCTTCTTCTTCTTCTTCTTCTTCTTCTTCTTCTTCTCCTCCTCCTCCTCCTCCTCCTCCTCCTCCTCCTCTTCTTCTTCTTCTTCTTCTTTTTCTCTTCCTCCTCCTCCTCCTCTTCTTCTTCTTCTTCTTCTTTTCTCTTCCTCCTCCTCCTCCTCCTCCTCGTCTCTACCTATCATGGTGTCGTTTCTGGTCTATGGTGCAGTTGGCGGGGCTTCGTAGTGATTGTGTCTCGTATGGTGATGCTTCCTGTAGTTCCACTGTAGACAAGGCAGTATTAGTGCTTGCGCGCGTGTGTGTGTGTGTGTGTGTGTGTGTGTGTGTCTGTGTGTGTGTGTGTGTGTGTGTGTGTGTGTGTGTGTGTGTGTGTGTGAGTGTGAGGGTGAGGGTGTATATGTGCGTGTGTGTGTGTTTGTGTTTTTTGTTTGTGTGTGTGTTTGTGTCCTTGTTTTATGTCACTGTGCGTGTGTTTGTTTCCTGATGTCTGTTTGTGTGTATGTTGATTTTGTCTGTGTGTATGTCTGCTTGTTTGTGTGTGGCGCTTGTAGGCCTATAGAATTTTCTCACAAGCAATATTCCGGGTGCTTTGTAGGCTTATAGAAGGCTTGGTTATAGGCTCCATTTTTTAAAAAGAATTATTCACGTAGTATGTTTTGCAGGCACTTTTTTTTTTGAAAAGTAGAAAAAAAAATGCTTTATTGCCCAATGGATAGATTTGTTATGCTCCGCCCTCTTTGTCTGCGTTTTGTCCATTGTTCAGCTGCTGTTCTGTGCATTGTTCAGCCATCGCTTTATGTGTACTAACAATATTTTTTTTCCAATATATATTTTTTGTGTGTGATGATTTTTATTTATCATTTTTTGTTGTTTGTTATTTACGCACAGGTGATAATCAGGCCTTGAATCCGTATTGTGCAAGATAGAATTAGCACACTATTTTTTTTCTTGCAATATTGCCACCCCTACTGTAGTACAATGTGCTCTGTGCAATCTCGTAATTTATCAAGATGTGGCAGTAATTATATGTGCTAAGGTTTTTTTGTCTGTGTGTTCAGCTGTTCCAAAGTCTTTAGGTTGCCAGTGAGGGAATATATGTCTGCTTTTATACAGGTACGTGTATTGTGTATTGTTCTCAGTGATATTTTATTTTATTTTTATTTGTTTGTTTCTCTTTCCTCTTGATTGCGATCTGTTTTTTTTCTTTCTTTCTTTCTCTTTTCGTCTTTTTTTCTCTTTTCTGTTTTGTCTTTTATCCTAACCTTTCTTATCCCCGTATCTGTTCTCTTCGTCTCCCCTCGTTTCCATCTTCTCTCCTCTCCTCTCCTCTCCTCTCCTCTCCTCTCCTCTCCTCTCTTTTACTCGTCTTGCTTTGACTCTCTGCTCTTCCCCCCCCCCCCTCCTCTCTCTTTCTCCCTCTTCCCCTTTCTTTCTCCCGCTTCTCTACCTTCCACTTTCTTTCTCCTTCTCCCTCATCCACTGCCTCCTTCTCTCCCTTCCCGTATTCCTCTTTCGTACTCTACGTTGAAATCCCCTATTCTATTTGCCGTCAAGAGGAACTCTTTTCTAAATTCAAGACGATGGTTGGAGCGAGCGAGGGGGAGAGAGTGAGAGAGGGAAGGAGAGAGAGAGAGAGGGCAGGAGAGAGAGAGAGGGAAGGAGAGAGAGAGAGGGGAGGAGAGAGAGAGGGAAGGAGAGCGAGAGAGAGGGAAGGAGAGCGAGAGAGAGGGAAGGAGAGAGAGAGAGGGAAGGAGAGCGAGAGAGAGGGAAAGAGAGAGAGAGAGAGAGGGAAGGAGAGAGAGAGAGAGGGAGGGAAGAGAGAGAGGGGGGAGAGAAGGAAGGAGAGAGAGAGAGGGAAGGAGAGAGAGAGAGGGAGGAGAGAGAGAGGAAGGAGAGCGAGAGAGAGGAAGGAGAGAGAGAGAGAGGGAAGGAGAGAGAGAGGAGGAGAGAGGAAGAGGGGGGGAGAGGGAAAGAGAGAGAGAGAGGGAAGGAGAGAGAGGGAAAGAGAGAGAGAGGGAAGGAGAGAGAGAGAGAGAGGGAAGGGGAGAGAGAGAGAAGGAAGGAGAGAGAGAGAGGGAAGGGGAGAGAGAGAGGGAAGGGGAGAGAGAGAGAGGGAAGGGGAGAGAGAGAGAGGGAAGGAGAGAGAGATATGAAAAAAAGAGAGAGAGAGGGGGAAGGGAGGGAGAGAGGGAGAGAAGGAGAGGGAGAGGGGGAAGGAGATATTTTAAAGATATTTCTCTCTCTCCTTCTCCCCCCCCCTCCCGTCTCCGCCTCCTTCCCTCCCTCCCTCCCTCCCTCCCCCCTTCTTTTTTTCCCTCCCTCCTCCTTCCCTCCTTTCTCTGCCTCTCTCCCTCCCTCCTTTCTCCTTCCTCCCTCCCTCCCTTCTACTTTCCTTCCATCCCTTAATCCTTCCCTCCCTCCCCCCTTCTTTTTTTCCCTCCCTCCTCCTTCCCTCCTTTCTCTGCCTCTCTCCCTCCCTCCCGTCCTCCCTCCCTCCCTCCCTCCCTCCTTCCCGAGTCCTTCAAAGGTATCCCGACACATATTATCGGTTCCCACGAGTGTCCTTAAGGGAGGAGGGAGGAGGGCGAGGAGAGGGGGGGAGGGGAGGGGAGGGGGCGAGTAAGACGGCCACTTTTTCTTTCTTCTTCTTTTCTTCTTCTTCTTCTTCTTCTTCTTCTTCTTCTTCTTCTTCCTCTTCTTTGTCATCTTCTTGTCTGTTTTCCTTTTGTTTTTTTTCTGCTTATACTTTCTCATTTCCTTTCTTTCTCCTTGCCTTCTCCGGTCTTCTCATGCGGTAATTTCCTTATTTTGTTTTCTTTTTTTCCAAACACAACACAAACTCACAGTTACGTAAGTATGTATGTATTATGTATGTGTGTGTGTGTACCTGCGTGCCCATGTTCGCAGATGCATGAGCGTTAGTGTATGCGTCTGTATGTAAGTATGAAACGCACTCTCACGCGTTTTCTAGCGAGTGCGTTTTCACGTCGAGAGATTTTGGCTGAAGTCGGGCGTGGAAACCCCTTAGAGTGCTGGAGGTTCTCTGTCAATGGGACACACGGTTAGTAGTGACGACAGCGCCCGGCCGTGCTCACCCGCGCACGCGCACGGGGATCTCGGGTGCAGCGCGGTAGGAGGGGGGCGGGGGTAGGAAGAAGGGAGGAGGAGGAGGAGGAAGAGGAGGATTTGGGTTGCAGGAGGAGAGTGGAAAGAGGAGGAGAAGAGAAGGAAGGAAGGAGGCGTAG